TCCCTATGGAGAATAAGGGATGGATAGCAGGATCATTGAGTGACTAGCAAAAAATTTTTATTCATTAGTTTTAATTTCTTAAAAAGAGTCATTTTTTAATACTTGTGATCAGATTCTGTGATGATAATAAGACCATTAAAAATTTTTTTCCCGGGATCAGCAGTTAATGTAATGGCTATGTCGCTGGACTCCCATGTAGTTGACCACAGTTCGAGTCCTGGACCTGGCGGCTTAAACTCATGCCAGGTGTGTGTGCATGCATGCCCAGGATCCTGAGAGGAGAACAGAGGAGAAGGGATTGCAGTGTGGCCATCCCCCCTGGGGGTTGATTTCTCGCTTTCTATCTCTCTGTCTCTCTCTGTCTTTCTGGCGAGCACACATACATATATGTATGTATATATGTACATATATATATATGTATGTATTTTTTCCCAATAATGATTAAGTATTAACTATCTACATTGAGAACCTTCTTAAATAATGGAATTTTGAAGGTTAAAAAAGAAACTCTGGATCTAGCAGGTGACTGATGGGTAAGGTGCTGGGCTCCCACATAGCTGAGTGTGGTTTGAGTCCCAGACCTGGCAGCTTGAAAATCACACAGGGTGTGTGCAGGTTGCCCAAAGTCCCAGGAAGTGAATGGAGAAGGGATTACATTATGGCCACCTTTCCTGAGGGGTGATTCCTAACTTTCCATTTCTGTCTCTTTTGAACACATGCACCCTATGGCAAAAACTTCTATTAAAAAAGAAACTCTGGTATGGTGTAATGAAAGTGTTTATCAATCAGATTCATTCCAGAAAGCAGAAACTACTTTAGTATTTAAGTAGAAATGAAATCAAAGGGGATTAGGTGTTAATAAAATCTTTATAAGGACAGAAGTGGGCTCTAATCTAGGCCTTCAGGGAAGACGTTCAGAACATCACAGAGTAGGCCCACTTGGGAATCTTACTCTGTTAAGAATTGTAAGAGAGGTAAGATTTTATACTATTCACATGCTAGTTAAATTAGCCACAGTTTCATAGATTTCATATTTCAGAGGCATGAAATGTTTCAAAGGCAGAAGATAATAATCATGGTGCAAGAGATACCATAAGCTTATGTTTTTTTCAGTTCTCTTGCTCCCCAAGCCTCAGCAGATATAGTGATTAGGCTTATATTTGCAAACTCATGAACTGTTCGTAATTATGATGTTTATCTGGTTGACATCATGTTTTCAAGTTTGAATATGATGCAATTCATGAATGACAGACTCAAGTAAATTTCTTCTCTTAAAATTAAACCATGCTCAGGGCCAGCAGATGGTGCAGCAGTGATGTTGCTGGATCCCCACATGGCCAACCACAGTTCAAATCCCAGACCCAGGGGCTTGAAATTCAGGCTGCACACATGTGCATATATACCCAAGATCCAAGCAGAAGAAGGAAGGAGGAGAAATTGCAGCATAGCCATCCCCCTGGGGAGTGATTTCTCACTTTCCTTCTCACTGTCTCTGTCTCTTTCTCTTTCCGGTGAGCACACATTGCAAAATCCTCTCCAGAAAAAATTAAGCTATACTACAATATTATAACAAATTGGAATCAATAAAACTTGTTTAATAGTGGGACCAGCAGATGGTGTAATGGTTACATCGTGGAATCCAATATAGTCAGCTATAGTTTGAGTCCTGGCCCCAGTAGCTTAAAATTTGCACTGGGCACATGTGCATGCCCAAAATCCCAAGAGGAGATGGAGAAGGGATTGTAACATGGCCATCCTCCCTGGAGAGGGGGGTGATTTCTCACTTTCTGTCTCTCTGTTTCTTTCTGTCTCTCCAGCAGGCACATGTCTCCTATAGCAAAAATCTCTATTAAAAAAAAAAAAAAGAAAAACAACTTTTATATATTAAAATACTTTCACCCTGAAAACATGCTATTTTTTCCATTATGAAGAGGAACCCCAAGAACATAGACAACTATTTGTATATTACTGAAGTGATTTAAAAGAGCATAATCCCTGTGTTTAGCACCTGGTGTCAGTATGAGAACAGATATCTAGAAACCATAATGCTCTGTCTCTGTCTTCACTCCTTTCAAAATATAACAGTTAATGTTTCAAATTTTCTTTAGCTCAAAAAATCTTGTTAAATATAAATAAATATTGAATTACTAAGAGACTAACAGATTTTTTTTACGTTAAGGAAAATATAATCATGTAAAATGTGATGTGTCTTCAAACAGAAGAAAAAAAGTCTCAGTTGCAAGTTTTCTTTCCTAAATAACTCTAGCACCCTCTAGTGTCTAGTGACAAATTTTATGAAAAATATTTCCCATTTACTATTAAGGAAAAATAGTAATCACACCCCCAAAACTTTGAAGGAAAAAAAACCAAGTGATATTAGCAGTGTTATTTTAATCACAACTATTGACCTCTCTGACTACCTTTTTTGTCCTTTTCTGTGGTTTTCTCTTGAGCTTCAACACTTTTTTTTCTTTCTTTCCTCTCTCTTTCTCTTTTTTTTTTTTTTGAGAGATTTTTGCTATAGGGCATATATACTTGCTGGAGAGACAGAAAGTGAGAAATCGCTCCCCTCTTCCAGGGGGAATGGCTAGACCATAATTCCTTCTCCACTCTCATCTTGGGATTTTGGACATGCATGCACACACACATGGTGTTGAGTGTCCGGAGGTATGAGTGTCAGGCCAGCAGGTCCAGGACTCAAACTGCAGTCGGCCATTTGGGAGTCCAGCAACATAACCATTAAGCCATTTGCTAGTTCTAAGGCTTCAACACTTTCAACATTCCTGTTTTTCATTCTATCTCAGTTTTGTTCCATTTATTATTTTGTCAATTTTCCATCTCCCTTTTAATTAAGATCCTTTTTCTTTTTCTTTTTCTAGAGGGCACATGCATTTGCCAGAGAGAAAGACAGAGAAAGAGGAGACAGTACCCTCCATGGGGAATGATCATGTGGCATTTCCTTCTCCTTTACCTCTCCTGCCTTTTGAGATTTTAGACACACACACACACACACACACACACACACACACAGGCACCCAGCATGTTACCTAGGCCACTGGGTCCTGGACTCAAACTGCACGGTCAGCCATGTGAGATCTGGCTGCCTTAACTGCCAGACCAATGGAACCGGCCCTTAACTAAGAGCATTTTTTTCTAACATTCATCTTTTTGTCCCCATTTTTTTCTTCTAATTTTCTTCTCTAATATCTCATTCATTACTTTTTTCCAATGATCTGTATTCTGATAATGGTCAAGTCTGAGACTCTCTATTCTCATCTTTTGCCATTTCTCCAGTTTCATACTGGATAATCCTCCAGGTATGCCCTGCTGTCACAACATGTTTAAAGTCATACTTGTCATTTTCCTTTACCCTCACCATTCACGCATCTATTAGTAATATGCTCTTTCCAAGAAAGCACCAAAGCTTAGAAGTCTGACATCCTTCATTCTTCCTCACCTCAGTTTTCTAATGTATCTGTGTAACCATTTTCTCTCTTTTTTTTAATTTAAATTTATTTATTTGCATTCATCCACTGTACATCATTACAGCATACGAAATGAGATTTTCCATCCAGAGTACACTGTATATTGTCTCAATCAAGCACATCAACAAACATGTTATTGTCAACAAGTAATTTTCCATTTCTTGTTTTCTGTGTGTTTTGCTTTTTTCCCCCGTCCTTGATTCCCTGTCTCTCACCCTCTGCCATCTCCCACTCTGCTCCCACACTCTCTGGTATCTATGTTTACTTTCTATACTGTTTTCCCCCTACATTTTATTGAATTACTAAAGATCATAACTAATCTAAATATTTCATAGCAAACACAACTGATATATACATTTCCATGAACACAAGTCTAACTTTAGGCATCCTATAAAGTAGCACCTAGCTGGGGCTACATATCTTACTGCAGTCATTGAATAGATTTTTTTTTTCTGAAACTTTTTTTTGTAACTTAATTTACATTCTTTCCC